ACACACACACACACACACACACACACACACACACACACACACACACACACACACAGGGCTGGGAGTGGTGGGGCTGTGGTCTTAGCTACTCCTACTCCGGAGGCTGAGGTGGGAGGATTGCTTGAGCCTGGGAAGGTCGCGGAGGCTGCAGTGAGCCGAGATCGCACCACTGCACTCCAGCCTGGGTAACAGAGTGATACCATGTCTCAAAAAACCAAAAATCTCTTTCAAGAAGGCTTTCACATTGAGCAGTTTATCTGTCCTTCAAGAGAAATCGGAAGGAGGGTGGGGTGATTCCTCTGCCTCCTCACCTACAGAGGATGATCAGGAGGAGGGGGAGATCAGTGCCTGTCGCCACGAGGCCACTGCCCAGGAAGGGAAGGTCGTTGCCACTCCTGAGAGCCAGGAGCCGCAGGCCAAGGGGGCAGAGGCTAGTGCTACCTCAGAGGGAGAGGCAGGGCCTCAGGCTGCAGAGCTCTCCACTCCCTTGGGGCGGAGAGTGGCCCCACACAAGCCCATGCGGAGCACAAACAGTAGCTGGGTGGGCCAGGTGGGTGATCTCTAAGCTGCAAAAACTGCTGTCCTTGTGAGGTCACTGCCTGGACCTGGTGCCCTGGCTGCCCTCCTGTGCCCGGAAAGGAAAGGGCTGTTACATCCTACCAGCTGTGTTCCCTTTCCTTCTCTCCCACTTGTGGATTCTCACATCAACCATCTGGCTTTCCTCTTAAGGCCGGTCGAAGATGGTCCCTTACAGCCTCCCTAGTTAGTGATGTGAAATACTCCTGTCCCTGACCCTGCCGCCTTCCCTGTCCTCACCCTTCTGAAGGCAATTTTTGGTTTTCTTCCCCAATTATTTTCCAAGTAGGTTTTGTTTACCCTTCTCCCCAAATCCCTGAGCCAGAAATGGGGTGCTTAAACTCCCAAACCTTGAGGGTCCAGACTCCCCCGTGGTGACTTTTTACTCTCTTGTGCTGTGCCTAGTGGTACCTGGGCACATAGACTGCCTTGTCTAGGGTTCTATTCAAGTTCAAACCTGCTTGTGAGCCAACTGTGCCTCTTTTCTGACTTGGCAAGCGCATATTAGGCTTTGGGGTCAGGGAGAGGTCTGTATTGTGAAACCACTTCTTGTCTTCTCTCATTTTCATAATGGCCAAACCCCAGATTTGAAATTTTTTTTTTTCCAACTGCTAAAACCTTCTCTTCCACCTGGTTTTACTGTACCAATTGGAAAAGGAATAAATGTCCCTTAAAATTATTTTTATTAGATGTATTCTTTATTTTTTCCAAGAGATTTATTGAGATATAATTCATACACCATACAGTTCACCCATTTAAAGTGTACTGGTCAGTAGTTTTTAGGATCTTTAGAGCTGGGCAACCATCATCACAATGTGAGAATATTTTCATCACTCTCTGTCCTTAAAGAAACTATAATTGGACAGGCACTGTGGCTCACACCTGTAATTCCAGCACTTTGAGAGGCCAAGGCGGGCAGATCACGAGGTCAGGAATTTGAGACCAGCCTGGCCAATATGGTGACACCTGTCTCTACTAAAAATACAGAAATTAGCCAGATGTGGTGACGCTCGCCTGTAATCCCAGCTACTGTGGAGGCTGAGGCAGAAGAATTGAGTGACCCAAGATCGCACCACTGCTCTCCAGCCTGGCAACAGAGCAAGAGTCCATCTCAAAAACAAAACAAAACCAAAAAACTCTATAATCTTTAGCCACCACCTCCCAATTCCCCACCCCCATGCCTAGGCAACTACTTATCTGTTCTCTGTCTCTATAGTGTTGTCTATTTGGAACATTTCATATGAATGGACTCATAATACTATGTGGTCCTTTGTGACTGGTTTCTTTCACTTGACAAAATGTTTTCAAGGTTCATCTGTGTTGTGGCAGGTACTCCATTTCTTTTTATAACTGATTGATATTCCATTGGATAAACACTTTATTTATCAATTCATCAGATGAGGGACATTTGGGCTGTTTTCAACTTTTGGCTATTATAAATAAAGCTGCTATACATGTTTATGTACCTGTTTCTGTGTGCATGTACATTTTCATGTCTCTTGGGTAAATATCTAGGAGTGGAAGTTCTGGGTCAAATAGTAACTCTGTGTTTAACCTTCTGAGGAACTGCCAGACTGTTTTTTTGCTGTTTTACATTCTCACCAGCTGGGTATGAGCATTCTGTTTCTCCACATCCCCATCAACATGTGTTATTATCTGGCTTTTGGATTATAATCATCCTGGTGGGTTTGCACTGTGGTTTGAATGTTTGTTTCTTCGGAAACCTGTGTTGAAACTGAATCCCCAATTATGGCAGTATTGAAAGGTGGGGCCTTAAAAGGTGATTGGGTGATGAGGGCTCTGAAATTAATCCATTCATGGATTAAAGCATTAATGGATTATTGGATTAGCACAAGATCGCTGCTTGTGGCTTTATAAGAGGAAGAAGAGAGACCTGTGCTAGCACACTGAGCCCCGTCACCATGTAATGCTCTGTGCCATCACAGTACTCTGAAGAGAGTCCCCATCAGCAAAGGCCCTCTCTAAATGTGGTTCCTTGACCTTGATCTTCCCAACCTCCATAACTGTAGAAAATAAATTCCTTTTCTTTATAAATTACCCAGATTCAGATTTTCTGTTATAAGCGATAGAAAATAGACTAAAGCAGTACACCCAGTGCTTTAAAATATTTTTTGAGGGCCAGGCACAGTGGCTCATACCTGTAATCCCAGCACTTTGGGAGGCCCAGGCGGGTGGATCACTTGAGATCAGGAGTTCAAGACCAGCCTGACCAACATGGAGAAACCCCGTCTCAAAAATAAATAAGTAAATAAAATCTTTTTTGAGATGTAATTCACATATCACAGTCACTATTTTACCATGTATAATTCAGTGGTTTTAGTATATTCACTATGTTGTACAAACATCATTACTACTATCTAATTGTAATTCTAGAACATTCCATCAGTCCAAACAGAAACTCCGTATAGCTTGTCATCACTCTCCATCTCCCTTCCCCAGCCCCTGGCAGCCAGGAATCTACTTTCTGTATCTACAAATTTGCCTATTCTGGATATTTCGTACAAACAGAATCATGCATTATAATGTGTGATATTTTGCGATGGCTGCTTACTCTTAGTGTAATGTTTCTTCAGTGTTGAGCATGTACCAGTACTTAATTTTTTTGAGTTGCCAGAAAATATCCCATTTTATGGGCCTAGTGCTTCTAAAGCAATTGATGTCTTCTCTTTTCTTTGCCCTTCCCTGCCCAAACAACTGTGCAGTGTTCTGAGGACACACGGTACTTTCTAGTGGTTCTATCAGATCTATTATTATACAGAGCTAAGTTTGAATTATTTAGTGAAGGCTAAATAATGAATTTTAACTTATTTTTAAAAATAGCTTGTTTAGTTTAACTATATAACAGATGTGATCCATTGCTTAGGTGACTTTGCATAGTTGAAAATGCAACTTTATCACAGGTTTTATTTTTTTTAAAAAGAAAAAGGAAGTAATTTACATCACTGCTTATGAAATCTGTTTTTTTTTTTTTTAAATCTATGCAGTATCTTTTACATTTATCAATACCTTTTTTGGAGGGAAACATTTTATTTGCAGAAAATCTGAGGCTAAATTTGGAGATGTTTATTTTTTAGGGTTTGGAATATGCAATCAGTGAAGGTAACAGCAGGTGACTAGACTGCATTATCTATATTTACAAGGCAGT